ATAAACACGTAACAGAAATATTAAAATTTCAGAAGATGAACTGCAGGCAAACTGCATACCACATTTCGGCATAGTCTTCTTCATCTCTTCGACCTCAAATTCCTTTCCATCATTGCGTGAACTAGAAATCACCTCAGCGTCATTAACTTCAATATTGGCACCGCTTCGGGGAATGAACTCTGGGACCTTAACCATAGCAGCCTTCTTTGCAATCAACGACGTATCACGACATTCTGGAATACCAAACATAAAAGCGCGCAAGTTCGCAGCCGAAACAATAAAGTCCAGATGAGTTGGCTATAATGAAGAAAAAAATAGCCATTACAACTCAAGATTTAAGACGATATATGTGAACATAAGATTTACATCATTGACGTCAAAAATGAGGGGTTTCGGACATCGTTTCGTGCCTGACCAAAACAGAGCACCAATTTTAGTCTTGTGATCAGGAGGGAAATTGTAAAGAAGCTGGCGAATAGAATTGGGGAACAGCTCTTGCCAGAGATTGCGAGCCCATGAGATACACTCATCGAAGCTTCTGGAACAATCGGAAGTAAGGTTCTTTTTGAGGGGCTCAAGAACTTCAGCAGCCTGGTTTCCCATAGTGGTGACCTTGGTGAGGTAGTCATCAGGATTTTTCAGGTATGCGCTGAGAGCATTCGATTCTTGAACGAAGAGACCTTCAAACTTATCTCTAGCCCATTGGATAGTGTGCTCAATTTGATAGGGAAAATGCTTTAAAGTGCACAATGGAAATGACTTCTCTGGAGGAGCCTGATAAGCTGAATAGGACTCCGTCAGATGTGGAATGATCACTTGGACGCTGCCCTTGGTTCCTAGAGTTCCAGACTCCAAGAGGGGCTTGCGGTAATAGACACAACGACGATCGACGTACTTTCTAGCTTCAACAGTGTCTAAAGCATTAGCAACACCGTCCAAGGCTTCAAAGAAAGCGTCATCATAAGCATCCTCCGTTTCAGGACAAACTTTATTCTCGTGTGATACAATGTTGAGTTGGGGGTTGATGGACTTAACAACGGAGGCTGCAGTACTTGATTTGCACTTTCCGATATCCCAAGGACGGAAAAGAAATTGACGATTAAGATTGGATTTTTCGATAATATCCATATCAGTGACAAAGAGTTTGCCATTACGACAGGAGATACCCATCATGGCAAAGTTTTTCAGATGCTCGCAACCAATAGCTCCTGCCCCAACCTATGTAAAAGAGGAATAAAGAGAACAAAATCGATCAAGTTACCACGAAGTAATTGAGGTCTCCAAGTTTATCCTGGAACTCCTTTCCGAAGATCTTACATTGGCCTTCATAACGGGAATCATCAGTAATAAGGTTATCCTTAGATAAAACGGTCCCAGATTTGCATTTACACCAAGGTTCCGGCAAGCATTCAATAGCATCAAAGTAGAACCACTGGATAATTGGTCTGAAACGGCCTGTGGAAGCTTTCATCACTTCTTGGGCAACGATGCCTCCGAAAATGGACTAATTAGGGTTAATTTAGATCAGGAAATGGAACACCTTACCTGAATGGCACAGCAATTGCCAGCACAAATGAAGGAAAAAATCTTGGCTAACTCTTCATTAATCTCTTCAACATGAGCTTGAGTTTCAGCCCAATCACTGTTAACAGACGTGCAGAATTCAAGAAACGTTTCAGCATCCTCTTCGTTCCATGGCAAAGGAAGACGATTTTGTTTCATCTCAAATTCGGAGAGGGCTTCAAAGAAGAGATGCAGTTGGGACGGAGTTTCCAACTTAGCAAAATCACTGGTGACGAAAGAGGGATTGCCGCAAGCTTCTGACATTTCAAGGAAGTCAATCTTTTCGGGTATTTTCACCTGAGTGCACAAACCTCCACCTGTACAAGGAGTAAGATTCGAAGTATCTCCGATAGAGAATGCAGAAGGGCCAATCACTGTGACCATTCGAGGTTCACAGTTATTCAGCTCTGTCATTCCTTTGACCTCAGAAAAAGTAACATAATCTCCATCATGCAGTCCATGGCCGGAATCATCAACGCTCACTGCAATACCCTCAGTGCTCTGAATAAAACAAATGAAGGAAAAAGGAAAGCAAACCTTTTCGATATGACGAACAAAAACTGAGATTGGTCGTTCACCATTAGTATCAGTAACAATGAAATCCTTTCCAAAATCGCAGAACACTTGGCCAAAAAGACCACAGGTTCTAGTGCAGACAATCTTGATCTTCAGTTCGTGACAGATTCTGCTTAAATTCTTCCACTGATGCATATTGCCTCTTGCAAAAACCACAACATGGTAGTTGCGCAAAATATTAGTGGTAAGTTCTTTGTCTTCTACGACGTTGAGTGTGACGTAATTGTTGAGCTCAGCCAGTTTAGCACGAACCACTTCACAGCGGTTTTTGCCAACATCCTGAGGAGATGCATAGTAGTTTGATGATAATTCCGAAGATGCGATGTCCTCAGGATCATGTAAATCGATGGACCCAACACCACCAAGCACAAGATTCTTGGCAATCTCCAGGCCCAATCCACTCATACCCGTAATAAGAATTTTGGTATGAGCTATTTTCTTCATACCATCTGTGCCGACAACATAGATTTGACGGCTATACAAGTTTTCATCAACACCCGATTCACCTTTTGTTCCCATATTCTATTAATAAGTGATTAAGGAAATTAAAAGCATACGTGATTGGTGTGGTTGCGAAATTTGTTATCGTTAATATTGATGAGTGGTGTGGATGGCTTATCAGACAAACTAATACTCCGTCTCTTCGATGGTTGAGATGAAGATATCTAAGGCGTAAACTTGTATTCAAACCCGCCTTAAATACGATAGTGCTATTTGAGGGCGCTAATCACGCGAAGCCAACGAAATAAGAAGAATCTCGCGATTGCTACTGGTTAATAGAAATACGTGTTGCAATTGAAATTAGAAATCTGTGATAAAATTCCTCAACCAGAGTAAATGTATTTTTTTAGAATAGAATGTAATTATCTTAAGGTTGAATGGCTGAATTTGCTTATCGAACTATCCACACTAATAAAAAAATATTCTATAGAAACCTAGGTGATAGATTCTCCTAATTACCGAGTCTTCAGAAGAAAGAGACGTATCACTGAAACGTCTATTCACTAGCTAAGGATAACGAATTGTGTTCAACAGGAGAAGCTTAATCATATAAAATGGTCGAATTTAAAAAACAAACACAAGCTTTCTATTGGTCATTGGCTGTGCTTCTCCGCACCAATCCGCCTAGTGTGCGCGCCTGCGATGAAGTGTCCCACAGGCTACACATAGTCCTACTTCATCAGAATTTGGACTCGAATTGCACCATATTCATTAAGTGGAAATTTCACCCCCCCCCCTCCCCACCAAAAAATTCAAATCGTCTTATTCATTCCATGAAATCCATTGAATACTTGCCAAAGATATCTATTTCACATTGATCGGTAGTAGAAAAGGGGTTTCACCTCATTTCGTGTTCATCGAATGGTTGAGATGCCACAATTTCCATACTAGCGCTTCATTAACTTACAGGTTTAATGATTAAATATACATACATGTTGAGTTAACAAAGCCCCATCAGATGTTATCACTCATGTTGGCATCATTATTTCTCTTGATGATATTAAGTAGAGTAAAATGGAAACATTAATCTAACATAGACTAGTTGATAATCTCTGAATTAAGAAAGCCAATATTTATTTATTTCAAATGGCAGGCGTTTTGATAGTTATCATTAGCACTTTTGATGACTTTGGGCTTCACAGAGGGAAAGAAACATCAAAGGGAAAAAGTCGAGAGGGGGGCACAGAAGAGTGTTTCAAAGATGTAAGAGACGAACACAAAGGTAGAAAAGGTAAGGAGAGTAATGTGGAAATAGTCGAATGTGGGATAGANTTATTTATTTCAAATGGCAGGCGTTTTGATAGTTATCATTAGCACTTTTGATGACTTTGGGCTTCACAGAGGGAAAGAAACATCAAAGGGAAAAAGTCGAGAGGGGGGCACAGAAGAGTGTTTCAAAGATGTAAGAGACGAACACAAAGGTAGAAAAGGTAAGGAGAGTAATGTGGAAATAGTCGAATGTGGGATAGAGTGAGGTGGTGGTAGTTTGAAGTGAGAAGTCAACTGCCAGTTAATAGACTTTTTTGCCGTATGAGTATGCGTTGCCCAGGGTGCACCACATGGAGGAAAGTCTATCGCACACCCCAGCTTGTAATATAATAAGTGGTTTGTTAATTCTTTTTCAGCAATACCAATTTTATGCATATGAGAGAATCGCAAAGTCGTTGGAATGCGGTTCTTTATGCTACAGAAAATTGATCGGGAATAAATCTAATTTCCGATTTCTCGGTTTCCTTGCTGATTTTCAAGGCCCGCTTCATGTATATAGGCCATTCGATGAACTCTCAATTACATATCCACATATCGAAGCTAGGGGAAGTCACCGTTATCATTTTTGTTATTAAATTTAATATAATACTATCAATATATATATATATATATATATATATATATACTGCTTAACTCGGACAAAAATTTTAAAAATATGCGGTGGGCTAAGCGAACGCAAATTGATGGAAAAGTTTAAGTGCTACGAAGACCGAGGCATATTCATCGATTATATTTTTTGAGCATTAATAAGGCAGTATAAGAAGGAGCACACTTTTCTCACATTTTTTGAGGTAAGATTCAACTGTTTCCTGACAGTATCACTTTGGTGAATCGGCCATTCGTTTTTTCTCAATATATTTAATATTTTTCAATGTTCACACACACACATACCCAGTTCCTTGTGAATTTTCTGACTGACACCTATGAAAGGACAGATAAGATGCATTCGCAAGGACTTCTCGTTATAACGGCAATGGAGGAGAGAGATCAGTCAGATGCCATTTCAACTGAATCTCTCCAGAGAATGCCTCATTATGCACTCACAATGATTGAGAAAGCAGTGTTGTACACTATCAATAAGACAGAAGAAAATGTGGCAAAATTGGGAAACAGAACGTGGTAGTGGCGATTTTAGTAACGATAGCGTTACCGAAAATGGGACCACTGATGACGATGGTGGTAACGGATCTAATGATTATGAAGACAGTGAAAATGAGACTATTTGTAGTGAAGACGATGAGTGTGATTATGATACTGATTATAGTGAAGCAGAATGCGACTTTTTGATGGCTGTAAATATGACATTTAATGACATAAGCAATGTCCCAAATTTTTTACAAGTAATCATTAACATTGAAAGAGTAGTAAGTTTAAAACACCTTATTTCACTTATTTTAATGAAAATTTAATTTTCAAAAATTTTGATTAATTAATTTTCTGTGTTCTAGACCACTGATTGTTTGAGATGGTGTAAAGCCCTGTTTAAAGTAATCAAACATGTGTATATTCCAAACAATAGAGGGTTGGCATTGACTCAACTTTAAAATATACTCAAAGATGTAAGCCTTTTCACGCATATTTACTTTAAATAGAGGCCCACTGCCAACTGGTTCCTCTGATGCTGGAAGTGACTCAGAAGCAACTTACTATTCAATAGACAATTTGACAAAAATTTCTTACTACCTTCTCTTTATAAGTAGCCATAATTATCACGAAATGGCCCGACTTTCACTAATTTTCCCTAAATTTACTGATAATATCATAGATGTGACGTGAAATGTCTATTCGTCGACTTTCGTGAAATATTCACAAATTTCTGAATCCATCTTGTTTTTGGAGATTCTACCTTATATTTGGGCAAAATAATTACCTAAAACCCTTAGGGAGTGAACAGACTTGATAATTTTTGGCAACCTAAAATAGGTTCCTTCTTGCGTAAAATAGTGATATTATACGGATTAATGCACTTGCCAGAGTTCATATTTTTCCATGAGCGTTGTGAATTCAAACTTCAGTGTGTGGACTTCAACAAGTTGGTAGTTTGCGGTGAAATAAGTGAAAGCGGGAGAGAGAGAGAATAATGCTAACGAAGGCAAAATTTCCCTATATTTTTGGATGTCTGAAGTGGAATTGGATAAAATTAGGGCAAACACTTCGTATATGCGGAGTTTAGTTAAGAGTGTTGCTGAAATTCACCTAACTAGGGAAAGCGTGTTCAATTGGTTTTCATATCTTTATGATTTTGGGGAAATAATGGTAAGAAATGTGAAAATTCGTGGAATTGTTAAAATGCTTTTTACTATTGGACGCGATGCGTGCAAAAATGTTACCACTTGTGGTGGGATAGACTTATTTACGTGGATCTTAGAGGTGAGTGTTCTCGAATCGGCTGATTGCCTTTTCCCCTGATTGATTTTAAAGAATTATTATCAGTCTCCTAATCGGTCACACTCATATTGTTTTTTTTAAAAGATTTGATAGTGCTTTTTGTTTCCGAATTCGTTAGCTACAAATATTAATTAATTGTAGAATTTGGAAAGGGATATTTATTTATATCAAACGGCAGGCATTTTGATAGTTTCAATAGCACTTTAGGTGACATCAGGCCTCACAGAGGAGAAGAAATATCAAAGTGAAAAAGGTCGAGATGGGGGGGGGGAACAGAAGAGTTCAAAGATGTAAAAGAGACAGACACAAAGGTAGAATAAAGGTGAGGTGAGTAGTGTGGAAGTAGTCGAATATGATATACAGTGGGGTGATGGTAGTGTAAAGCCAGAAGACAACTGCCAGTTTACAGACATTTTTGCCGTATGAGGATACGTTGCCCAGGGTGCACCACATGGAGGTAAGTCTATCGCACACCCCAGAATGGGGGGGGGGGATTATGGTGCCAATTTAACCGCTGTTTGGTTTCCGTGGCATTGATTTGATTAAGTCCATTTAGCGTTCCATTGGACAATTACCTCTCCCCCCCCCCCTCTTAGCCAGGGGCCGACAGTTACCTTCTCACTTCATACCCCAGGTGAAAACCTGCTTGTAAATTCGTCGGTTCAATTTTTCATGAATTTGAATCCGTAATCAGTTTTTGCTTACAATTAAAAGATATAAAAGAT